ATAAAATAGGGACCTACAATTAAAATGTCATTGTATTGTTGACAGCCTAGTGTACATAACGGTCCATAAAAAATGAAATCACAAACAATAAGCCGTATTAATAAAGATAAGTAATTACTAACTAGTAAAAGTTTTAAGTAAAAGCATAAGCTCAAGTATAATGTGTAGCTTAAGTAATTGCTAAAATTCACATTCATAACCTTTCACTTTAAATATGTTTAGACCTGTTACTTGCCGCGGCTAACAAGTTCTCAAGTACTATACTTACAGCAGCAGCTCCAAAATATAGCGTGTTTATGGTGAAAATCTCAGCAACACAAAGTATATTTCAGAATTATTCATCAATGTCACATTTAATTACTATTGTTACTCTTAAGAATTGTAGGCTAAATGGGAATATAAGATTTAGAAATATCGACTTTAAAGATTTGTTAATATACTGTTGAAACACCCTCTTTAACCCCATTATTGAATTAACAAAACATTGGATATAAATAATATTGTTATATGTTGTTCTAAACAGATGCAAACTAAAATGAAAATGGGGTAGTGAGCACTTCAAATAATTTTGTTTTATTTTATTTTTATTGTTTACATTTTACTGAAAACCAATCATATTTAACTAGTATATTTGTATAATTCAGTCGTAATATAAACAGCTTCCAGGGAGGGATTGGTACAGGTAGTTATCAATGGTTGTAGCTACCATGTAACCAGGCGCGTACGCAGGGTTTATTTTCGGGGGGGGGGGGGTACAAGAAATGTTTGTTTTTTTTTGTCCCAAAAATTACGCAACGACTCAGCCAGCCGCTGAATAAGCGGGGGGGGGGGGGGGGTAAGAGGACATTTTTTATTTTTATTTTTTGGTCTCAAAAATGCCGCAACGTCTCAGTTAACCGCTGAAAAAGCAGGGGGGGGGGGTAGTAAGAGCACATTTTTCCATTTTTTTTGTGTCCAAAATTAGAAAAATTGGCCGATCGATATTTCGTTTCGTTGGAGGGGGGGGGGGGGGGGGGGGGGTAAGGTCGGCTTTTTTGGGTCACCCATTACCATAATTTGTCTTTTATTATTATTTTTTTAATAAAAAATAATAGAGCAGAATGGTATAGCAATGAAATCTCAATGTGCTTTACAAGAAATTAATGCACTTAAATGTTTTATACAGACATGCACGTTTTGTATGTTATAATAAAACATCATTATAAGCTACTGGTAAGGAACCTAGAATGCAAGAACTAATGCCACTTATGTAAAAGGGCCACTTTTCATTTAAGTATAATTAAGCATAATATATAAGGCTAGTTTAATATAGGGACTCATAGAGAATCTAACGTTAATGGGGTTGCATATTTCTTTTCTAAAGGAATCCGTGTTATTTCTCCCTATAATATTCAACTTATCGATACATATCTGAAATAAATTATAAAAAAGCTTGAGTGCTTTATCAACAATTTGCCACCGATAATTATTTGATCAAGGTCAATCGCTGTCGAAAACGTCCACTAAAAAAAAATCAAATGTAGATAGCAGCTTCATATGTTGAAGGCGTGTAAAACAAAAGAGTTTAAATGTCCACAAAAGCTATAAACAAGACATTTTCTGCAGTATTTGTCAATGAAATAATCTCCAATATTCCATAAAAAGAAACAGTTTGGATACATTCTCTTTAAATACACATTTAAAAAAGAAATCATTAAAATGACCCATATCCCCATTTCTGATATGCTTGAAAAAGACTAAGTTAGCCATTTTAAAATTGTAAAATAACGTGTTTATTCTTAGTTATAATATGCTCTTTGCAAAAATTATATCACCAAAATCCTCTCGAAAATTCCGAAAACAGCCGGGCTTCTTTAGCCATTTGACAACTTACTGCTCTCATTGTGCTCTGCTCTTTCATTGCATTATATCAATTATGGCCTTGCTGTTTGACTGTTTAGGGTCACCATGTCTAATACACAGACTTCTGTAATATTAACAATACAGAAATACATAGTACGGATTATCAATAACCCCCTATAGCAAACATTGTCTCTCCTCCGTTTGATTAATGAAAGTTGTTGCAACACAATCGTTGAAGACGAGTTGTCATTATTGGCTGGATCTAGTCCAAATTTTGTCATCACTTTGCTGTGCCATTAATTGGTGGGGAATGCTGTATGTGGTAGTATTTCCTAACCTTCCTGTGAATTTGGCAAGTATTTGAACTGAAACTGAAACTAAAATGGTATAAATGTTTGAATCCGTAAAAATGTATTATTTCAAAAGTTACAAAGATAGCCTGTTAAATAGCATCAGTGCACAATAAACGTGACTATCTGTCACTTCTGCATTTCATGACAAACCTTTCTATTGAAGTTATTCCAACTTGGTGAAAATCGATAGGGGCACGTGTTATTTACTAAATGTCATGAACATATCCTTTAAATATCTTTAAAGTATACAAGAAGCGAAATGTTGTATTTCTATTTATTAAAACATATGTTAACATGCAGGATAACATTAATCAGCTCGCAGGCTGTTTGACATAATGGTCCTGCATGAAGAAGGACAAATACAAATTCGAAAGGAAAATAGTACTTTTGTGTAAGCGGTAAAAATAGAAAAAACATAAATAGGTAAAACAAACACTATAAGGGAAAAACGGAAAGAGGGGAAAAAATATGCATACACCTTGATAAAAAATACATCGATGGATAAGCGGATCTACAAAAATTATTGACAAGTTAAGTATAATCAGTTAGAAAATGAAAATAAAAATAGAACAAGAAATGTCTTAGCAACTACATAGGCCTCAACCAAACAATTTTAGAAAATAGATATCAAATATACAACGTAATGTAGGTAGATCTATATGTAATTTCCTAGATAATAGAGTTAGAAGCCATTTTAGTTAGTTATTGCATCTAATGCTGTAGTAATAAGGAACAAAAGGTTTTTAAAGGAAATTACGATTTATTCATATTTAAATCATTATGACGGGAGCAATAATTGTAGGAAGCACCCAATCTGTGCTTGAAAATGTAACTGTATTACCTATTCTACGCTTCAACTTTTAATTTCAAGTTAGGCAACAAACACCCATATTTAATTGTATGATGCCCAACCATCTATGAACATTGCTTTATATGTCTTCAGATCTCCGCACATTTATAAAACACATTAAATTTGTTACAGCCACTATGCTTGTAAAAAAGGAATACTGAATGCGTTAAAATATCTAATGTTTGTGTAAATGATATACATATCCTTCATTTAAATGTCCATGCACAATAGCTATAAACAAGACATTTTCTGCATTATTTTTCAAAGAAATAATCTCCAACATTTTATTCAAAAAAGAAAAGGGAAATGTTGTCACACAGCAGTTTTGATATTTTTGGGAAAAATTCCAATTAAAAATGATAAAATTAAAAAGACCCAAACCCCCAATTCTGAAATGCCTAGTAAGTAAGTTTAGAGCCATTTTAAAATGTGGAAAAAACAACGTGTATCTTCTTATCAAAAAAACATAATAACATAATTACATAATAACATTGTAACTTGATTTAGTAGGCTATGTATTAAGTCTCTGTTTTTTTAATACTTATTAATGATTTAATTTATCCATATGTTTTGTTTACCTTGTCATATTTTGTTATGCATTTTATATTGTAAACTGACTTGTTTAGTCTTCGGACTTTTTAATCAGTATTTTTCTTGAATAAAACCAAATGTCTATCTATCTATCTATCTAATGCCAAAATTTCTCCAAGCAGCCGGGCCTGTTTTTCCATTTTACAACTAACCACTTTCATTGTGCTCTTGTATTGCCTTATGTCAGTTATGGCCTTGCCGTTTGTCTGTTTGGGGTCACAATCATGTATAAAACACAGTCTACTAAAATATTAACAAAACAGAAACGCGTAGTACGGATTAAAAACAACATTGGTTTTCATTTACATTCTGACCCGTTATTCTGCTACGGTAAGCTTCTCAAAAATGACGGTTTATTTTATTACAACATAGGTATTATTATGTATCAATCGTCAACAAATGAACTTCCTGATGCTTTAATGACAATATTCACAATAAGTAGTACAATTCATTCTTACCCCACTAGACAAAATAATTTGCTACATTTACCTTGTACAAGAACGTTATTTTCCAATAAAACTTTGATGTTTACTGGACCTAAATTCTGGAATAATACCAAACTTAAACAATCAATTTCTTTAAATTCTCAAAACTTTTTTCTTGAACCAATAAAAATTCTGATTGTGTGGATCATGTGTAGGTTGAAGTAGGTATTGAGAATGTGACGGTAGTACATTTATATATATGTAAATGCTCTTTAACAAAATGAACAGATTTTGTCTCGTGTTTTCTATTTATAGACATTGTGTATTTTTCAAATATTTTTCTTATATAAATACTTTTTCAATATATATAATTTTGTTGAGCATTTAAAACTCAGGCCTACGATATTATATTGCATTAACCTTTTTTGTTTATACATCTTTCTCATCGCGCCATGTCAATTTATCGATGATCTTCTTCATCATACTTTGTACGGAATCTATTATTTACAAGCTTTGCATTTTTCTAAAGGTCTGGTCATATCTCACTCTTAAATAAATATATTCGTCTTCTTGTAAAAGCTGTTAAAATTCAATCAATAAGTAAATTTGTAACATGTTTCTAATTCCCTTGAGGGTGATTATAATTAACAAAGAATTATTTTATATTGTAACATAATAGTAAATTGTGAAATTAAAAAACGATTGACTGAAACTGAAACTGAAACTAATCACTAAACACACGGACACAGAGCGAGTGTCACGCACCCGCTGCAATATTAATTTGGTTGCATTTGCTTTTTAGCCACCGTATGGGAAGGTGCGTCGAAGGGCCGGGCTCTTGACTTAAGTAGTGGGATTAAACTATAGGTAAGTTCGTATCTTTGTTTGTCGTATTCCAAGCAAAAAAAATCGATTCCGTGTCCTCGTATTCTTTCTCATTCCATGTTAGAGTGAAATGTCAAAATGATAAAAAATTGAGGTGGGTCGAAAAGAGGAAGGAGGGAACGGAAAACGCGGAATTCAGGTTATTTTGTAGAACCATCTCCATATTGCTTTACCGCGCTGCCATTTTCTTCCTTTCAACTTAACTCCTAATATTTGAAGGCTCAATTTATTTAAATTCCGAAATCTATAGTGGTTACATGTGGCCTCTGATGTTCAGGTGAATTCCCTGAGCAAATATTTTCTCTCCTTCATTTGATTAATGAAAAAAGAAATCGTCGGAGACAAGGTGTCATAATAGCACAGAGCGAGTGTCACGCACCCGCTGCAACATTTGGTTGCATTTGCTTGTTAGCCACCGTATGTGAAGGTGCAGCGAAGGGCCGGGCTCTTGACTTAAGTAGTGGGATTAAACTATAGGTAAGTTCGTATCTTTGTTTGTCGTATTCCATGTTAGAGCGAAATGTCAAAATGATACAAAATTGAGGTGGGTCGAAAAGAGGAAGAAGGGAACGGGAAACGGGGAATTCATGTTATTTTGTAGTACCATCTCCATATTGCTTTACCACGCTGCCATTTTCTGCCTTTCAACTGAATCCCTAATCTTTGAAGGCTCAATTTATTTAAATTCCAAAATCTATAGTAGCTACATGTGGCCTCTGATGTTCAGGTGAAATCGTTGGAGACAAGGTGTCATAATATATAGGCTGGATCTAGTCCAAATGTTGTCATAAATATTGTTACTACTCTATCACTTTAATATTGTTGTTCCATCCCTTTGTGGGGAATGCTGTTTGTGGCAGTATCTCCTAACCTTCCTGGATGGATCTCCCAACTCCCAGTTTGCTCAACTTATTCATATTATACAAATTATGACGGGAGCAATGTGCTATAGGAAGCATCCAAGCATTGTTTGAAAATATAACTGTATTATACCTATTCTACGCTCAATAATTTAATTTTCAAGTTAGGCAGCAAAAACCGAACAATTATTGTATAAATACCTATTCTATCTATGAAAATTGCTCTATATGTCACATATTATCTGTTTTGGCCACTATGCTATTACCAAATAAATACTATATGCGCTAAATTCTAGAATTTTTGTGTAAATGACATAAATTATTTATTATTTACACCCTCTTTGTTGCACTAATTGTGGTTGAAGATAAACTTGAGTTCTAAAAATTATAGAAAAATACATTGTCACAGAATCAAACGAAACTTACATTGAATGTTCAAGATTACAAATAAATGACATGCGCCCAACAATTTCGGTAGAAAAAGTATAGTGGCTGAGTAATGAGCATAAAAAGATAAGGAAATCTGGGTAAGTAGGCCCGACACCTTGGTTCAAACAACCGATCTACTGCAGCATGAACAACCCAGAATAAATCATAGCAATTTTCTCTCAAAATTCGATTCCCATACCAAAGCTCAAGATTAGCTCTAATCCAAGTGCTTGCCGCGAAATGATCAGGGCAGCGTTTCATGAAACCGTCATAAGTACAAGTTCACCGACATCCCATTGAAAGGCGTGTTAAACTTAATACACGCATTTCAATGGGATGTCGCTGAACTTGTACTTTTGACGGTTTCGTGAGACGCTGCCCAGGAGCCAGGCATTTGCGCTTATTGTGCACGGATGCTGTTCAACGCACTATCCTTGTAACATTTGAAAAATGCTACGTTAGAAAAGAATGATCATAACTTTCTAGTTTTTGATCAGATCCTATTGAAATTCACAGTAAGCTTAAAAGGTACTACGACAACTTTATATTTTTAATGAAATTGCAATGAGAACGGCTATATGCACTTTTTAGGATATATATCATCAATCAAAATGTCGTAACATTTTGGACGACAAACAATCAATCATATTGGTTGCGCATCCATTCGATCATGCAACCACTTGATTCCATTAAGCCTTTTCCGTTGTTTTATTTTGTTTTATTTTGTTTTAATTCCAATGTTTGTTTGCGTTTCTGATCGAGTGCACAATTTTACCCCATCTATGGATTACTCTTAATATAATTATCTGAGAGTGGGTAAGATTGTCAGCTGTGCAAAGACTGCTCTGATTTATGACACATCACGCTAATTACACAATGTACTCTGTGTTTTTCATTTTATGAAAAAGAGATGCCGTTGATTCAAACCAATTGCAACTTTAAAGTATATGCATTTAATTTAAGGCTGCGATTGAATCGCAGTTCTTTTTAAGAGGGGACCCTGATCTTATTTACTGTTCGTAACCGGTGCAAATTCTTATTTATCAACAGAGAATATTATGGATGTCAAATATAATAAGAATATAGGCAACATTGCATGCATAATTATGTTCGTATTGGTATTTGATTTTTTAACCCAGTATTTTTTTTAATCCTCATGCTTTGTCGATCGAATGAGCTTTTAATTTATTGTATTTCAATGGGCGTGTTTATTCTTAAGTTGTGAACTCAATTTTTCAGCCTTAAACCAAGGTACTACCGTGTGAGTCAAAAAAAAGTTTGCACCTAGAAAATTACTAATTATTTGTAAAATCATCTATGAACAGTAAATTATGATACATCTTATGAAAGAGTGTTTAATCCCAAATCATTTGGTACCATTTTTGTGTGGTATGTGTTTACGCTTGGATGAATAGGTGGCATTGTTTGCGAGAGTGCAAAAACCGACTTGCGCCAAAGTGATGCCTTCATTAATTATGTTGGGATTAGCGGAGTGAGAGAATGGATTGAATGTATCAAATGAAATGCATTGCATATGTTTTTTTTTGCAAAGGGCAAAGTCACACACACCCACACACACGCGCACAAATGTTCGTTGATATTTGATATTCGATATTTGATATGTGTGGCATGATTAATTTTGTTAGGGGTGTTATTTGGATCTGCAAAGACCGAATTAATACCCAAATCCAAATTGTTTTATTCAAACATCACATAGGCAACTTTGGCGCAATTCGATTTTTGCACTCTCGCAAACAATGTACCCTGTTCATCCAAGCGTGAACAAATACCACATAAAAATGGTACCAAATGATTTGGGATAAATAACTCGTTCATAAGACATATAAAAGTTTAATGTTCATCGATGATTTATTAAATAATTACCAATTTTCTTGGTGTAAACTTTTTTTTGACTCACTCTGTATGTCCCATTTGTAGGCCAAACATATGAACAGATTAAATTCCAACGGCATTTGAAAGACAATGCTAATTTAAAACTTCCCTTAAAAAAAAAGGGGGGGGGGGCTTCAAAATGTCTTTAAGTGGGAAAATAACGACTATTAGTTATCGAATCGACTTAGGAGCTATAGAGCCAGTAAGTAACAGTCTAATCAGACCATTGTACCGAATGGGAGTATTTTTTATGCTGCGCAAAGATTCAATCAGTGTAATTTTGGCCATTAGAAGAAGTGGGTTATTGATGTAGACAAATGCTCATTCCCTTTACAGCTCATTTTATTACCAAAGATGAAAAGTCTAACAAGTAAACGGGTTTCCTTGCATAATTTGAATATAAGGACATTGCTAACGTTTAAATTTCACAGATAGGACATACATGACATATTCATCATTCCTGCAAAGTTCTACAGAATTTGATGTTGGCTGCAAAAGGGACATAGTATCTTTTAGGCTGCTATTTTTAATACTATGTTCTTTAAAAAAAAACATGTACCACATCATTTACATGTGAAATATCAATTTACTTTGCATGACAAAGGGGTTTACAGCCCCCCCTCCCCCCCCCCCCTCCTCCCCCCCAAAAAAACATAAAATACATTATTTAAATTCATGCTAAATATATGAATTAATACATAAAATAAAACATATCAAACCCAAAATCACACTGTCAGCACTGTTTCGAAACACATACTTCTAATAGGTGGAGGCATGGAAATGCCATTACTAACTAATACAGTTCCTGAAACCGGAAAATAAGGGAAATAATTGAAAGGTTAGGAAGTGTTGATATATCTCACTAATTTACAGCTATGTCTTTACCATACCATGCATATCAGTTATAAGAGGTATATCAGGTTTTTACGGAAAGATAAATACTCTATCTCTCTCTATTTTTTCTCTTTCCAACTCTTTCTCTCTCTTTCTCCCTCTCTTTCTCTCTCCCTTCCACATTCATTTGTCCCCCCCCCCCCTCAAAAAAAGGGGGGGGGGTGGGGAGGGGGGAAAGGCATTTCCCAAATGTATTTCTACCACACCTTCGTAGGGGCTGTATGGAAAGGGCTATTACTGCCTATGGGTATGTGATGAACGATCACCTTGTGGTATTCCTATATTGAAATAGCATGTATTGAAGGTAGCGTGGTAACGTACCAACTGTCTATCTTGATCACGTGAAGAAATAAGAAAGACCGGATACAACTACTAATCGAGGCTCCAATAATTGAACTTCCTTCTTATGGTCATAGTCATTCATAAGTGACCAGTGTCTCTAGCATGAGGAAGTACACGAATTAATAGCAACGAAAACAGACGTAGTACAATTTTACGTCTTGTACTCATCAGAGTAAATTACTGGAATGAACAGACATTCGAAATCAGACAATATAAGCGAAAGCTTAAGGAACAAAGAGCGCGAAAAATTAACCGGCTGAGATTGAGTTGATGACTTAAGTTGGTTAACGCCCTTTAAAGTGCTAGGAGCCCAACATTTTGATGGCATAATATTATCACTTAAATTGTATCATAATGTGAAAAAGCATGTCATTTAAAACACATTTCTGCAAGGATTTTCAAAACAAATGTGTTTGAAGTCAAATATTGATAAAAGAATACAGAATTTAGGTTTTCTGCGTACCCAAATTAAGTATTCTTTTTCAATATTTGTTTTTGGGGAGGGGAGTCTTTGCAGAAGTTTGTCTTAAATTATATTCTCTTTCACAATGTGATACAATAATATTTAAGTGAAATTTTGCCGTCATTTTTTGGGCGAATTTGGAATTCCCAATAATTTAAAGGGCTTTAAGGATAATCCGGAAAAAAGAGAACATTCTGATTTATAAAAAGGTGTAATCCATCAGAAACAAATTGGCAACTTTTTGACGTCACTGTCGAGTACTCCCATTTGCTAATTCCATAACTTAAACCAAAGGGTTGAGTTCTGGGGAGTGGTGAAAAATAATTTGTGAGCATTATCATTGTTATTATGCAAATGTGGAAGAACATCAGAGAAAGAATGTTCCCTGACTAGCATGGCTCTTTAAATACCTTCATATTCTGAATGTGACAAGTAACAGCTTAAAAAATGAGGCACAACTTTTATGCCACAGTTTGTGAAGTCCCATTTACATCTTTCTGTGTACAATGCCCGTTACTTTACCAAGATTGGGCCAAATTTCTTATCATTTTGATGACTCAAAAACCTTGCAGTACACACCAATGTATATGCTACAT